AGTGCGTCACTTTCCACATACACTGCAGATCAAGCCAACCTGCAAGTAGAGCCATTTATTTGACAACTGGCATTTGTGTTCTTTTTGCACAATGCAAAATGAGCTGTGGGAGTTTATTGCACTGGGATGTTGTCCAGTTGCAGCAGAAGCTGTCTGTTTCCCAAGCAAGGCGCCCAGAACAATTTGTCTAATGTCAGTAGCGCCTATTATTATTTCACGGATCAGAATGTGTCGTCTTTATCAGAAGTCACACAACCTTCATTTCCTGGCAGCCTGAAGAGGTGGGTCTTTTGTGCCAAAAACATGGCGGTTCGGCACCTGATCACAAACGTGCAATTTTTATTAAAAAGACAGTGCTTGTTCACAAGTGTTGGGCAAAGCCTAGCCATCAACGGGTGAGTGTATTAATATATTTATTTATATCCTGATTTCCCCCCCCCCCAAATTGGGACACAAAGCTGCTTACAAATTAAAACAGCGCAATTAAAAGTGCACACTAAAATAAAATTAAATGAGTACAGTATTAGAGAGCCAGCATGGTGTAGTGCTTTGAGCATTGGATGATGATGATGATGATGATGATGATGATGATGATGATGATGATGACGACATGATGACAATGATAACAATAATAATTTCTTACCTGCCTCTCCCCATGGATCAAGGCCAACAACAAACAACATCAGTCAAAACACTTCATAAAACACACATCTGTTTAAAAGGACAAACAAAATGTACACATATTAAAACAATCCACATCTAAAATTCAACCTTTAAAATTCTCAATTTAAAAATAATCAGGATAAGCCTGCTAGAAGAGACTGATCTTTAAGGCTGCTTTAAATTCAGACAGCATATTCAGTTATGACTCTAGAGACCAGGGTTTGAATCCCGGTTTGGCTTTGTAAACCCACTGGGTGACCCTGGGCAAGTCACACTCTCTCAGCCTCAAAGAAAAGCAAAGGCAAATCCTCTCTGAACAAATTTTGCCAAGAAAACCTCATGATAGCTTTAGAGTCACCCTAAGTCTGAAACGAAGGTACACAGCAACAAAAGTACAATATTAAAACATCCCTCATTAAAAGAATAAAATGCAATTAAAAGATAAAAGCACTTAAAAGCAGTATACTTGAGAGTATTTAGCTCTTCACTTTAGATTGCCTGCTCTTTTTCTTTCCTTGCAATAGACCTTTCAGACTATTCTACCATATCACTATGATTCCGCTTTAATTGCCATGAATCTTGGGATTTGTAGTCTGGTGCAATGGCTTGAGTCTTGGACTAGGAGTCTGGAGAGCAGGGTTCGGATCATCACTCGGCCATGGAAACCCAGTGGGTGACCTTGGGCAAGTCACACTCTCTTAGCCTCAAAGGATGGGAATGGCAAACCTCCTCTGAACAAATGTGGCCAAGAAACCAACAGGATGGGTGGCCATAAGTCAGAAAGACTTGAAGGCACACAATTCCCCACTCCAGGAGCTGCTCTGGTGGCTGCACTCCGGCGGCGTTTTCGGTGGCAAAACACTTGCAGTCCAGTCCAGATGGCGCCCAAATTTAATTTTAAGCCAGATCAGGTAAGGCAAGTTATTTAAGAATACGATAAGCTCCTAATAAAGATGTATATATATAAAATAAGGAAACAATAGGAATACTGGAGTTAACTAAAAACACAACACCAAACGGAAGTAGAATTAATTTACAAGAAACAATCATACAAAATAAACGTTATCAATGGAAGTACAAAATATAAAATACAAAAAAAAGAGAAGAAGTTAACAGTAACATTAAAAAGTAGAAAGTATTTATTTATTAATTTTTGTGTCTATATAGGAACTGTAACTAGTAAGATGACAAATATACACTGTATATAAGCAAAATAAGAACTTGCAATTTGTATATAGTGCCGCATTAATAATTTGTATGCTTCATTGATTATATGCTACTATATATTTAACTGCCCTGGAGTCAATCTCGACTCATGGAGGCCCTATGGATGAGACATCTCCAAGAAGACCCTCTGTCCTCCACTGTGCTACTGTGCTGCAACCCCTTAATCCCTATAGTGACCTCCTCAATATAGAGTCCTTCCATCTGGCATGGGGCCTTCTTCTCTTCCTACTTCCCTCCACCTTTCCCAGCATTATTGTCTTTTCCAAAGAGTCCTCCCTTCTCATGATGTGTCCGAAGTACAACAGCCTCAGTTTGGTCATCTTGGCTTCCAGGGAAGTTTCCGGTTTGATCTGCTCTAGGACCCATTTGTTGGTCCTTTTGGCTCTCCATGGGATCCTCCGCACTCTTCTCTAGCCCCACATTCTCTCAAATGCATTGATTTTTTCCCTATCATCTTTCTTGAGTGTCCAGCTCTCATATCCCATACATGGTAATAGGGAATACGATGGCTTATATGATTCTAACTTTTGTGCTCAGTTGTATATCTTTGCACTTTAGGATCTTTTCTAGTTCTTTCATAGCCACCCTCCCTATTCTTAATCTTCTTATTTCCTGACTGCAGTCTCCATTTCTATCAATGTTTGATCCCATTGTTTGATTCCCAGGTATGGGAATTCTTTTACTATTTCTGTTTCATTGTCTAGGGGCCTTTGCAGACTGCTAGAAATAGTGCAAATAGTGTTTTCTTTATGTTCAACATTAAGCTTGCCTTTGCACTTTTCTTCCTTGATCTTCCTTACAAGTTGTAAGTTGGCTTTCAGGGATATTTCTGGCTTGATCTGCTCTAGGACCCATTTGTTTGT